ATGTCCAGGAGTGAACTTGTCAGCACAGTTGAAATAACCTCCATGTTTACAGTAACAGCCATTCCCCCATCTGTCATTGGTCACCACCACATCCTGTAAGGAGCGCAATAATGCAGTCATTATGATCAGAATTACAATTTGAGACGGTTCTAAAATAAGAATGACATGAACCGATGATCTCACTTTGACCGGACTGTCGTTGTAGAGCCAGGCGAGGAATTCTGTAGAGTTCCAATAAGTGTCAGGTGCTTCCCAGTCCCCGTCTGACCAAATCAGGTCTGGCTTGTACCTGAGATGTTAATACATCACCAATTAACAGTTTCATAAATGTAAAACCATATACACTATGTAGGCTGTGAAGGTTGATCTTTACACAGACAAATACAACAGAACAATCAAGCTTATGTCATAAACAATTGTTCTTCCTTCTCTAGCCTGTATCATCACATGACTGATGCAAATCTACCTGTTGACCAGTTCGATGAGTTCTGGCATAGCTTTTTTTGCAACATAATCCTGAGTCTTGAAACCAGCTGCCTTGTCACTCAGATAGATGGGATTGAACCATTCATACAGGGAGTTGTAGAGTCCATAATGCAGAGACCTAATACAACAAATTGAACATTTTTGGTTAAAATTCAGAAAAGAAAAAGTTCTCAAAAAACCGTACTGAGATATCCACCTCGTATTTCACATAAGAACAGTCACAACCATTTTTAATTTGAATGTGCAAGGCTTTGTGTCAGGTGAAGTTGTACAAGCAGTCTGTTATGCTAAACTGGTATTCGTTATCATAATATTTTAATTTTTTATCATAGTCATAAACAGTGGTTTTGCAGTGTAAATTCTTTTACCGCTTACTTCACTTTGTTAATATTCTAGTAATTTACCTAGAGTGCAACTGTTCGGTTCAAGGAATAACCATCCTATTAATTTTCTCCATAGAGGAATTGATTTTTATCAATAACTTATAACCTTTAAAGACAGACTACTGCAAGCTACTACAAGGTTGTTAATCAATGCTATATGCCTTTGTTGAAGCCACCTGCCTGCATTATTTCAATTTGGTTTTTTCAAAGAAACTCAGTTTAAAATAATAAATCAACATTTATGACTTTATTAGTATGTTCACGGAAGGGTTTTCTTAGCGATATTGTTTCTGTAAAGGAGTCAGAAACAATACACTTATTTTTCAGTTGTATTCATACTCAGCTAAATGTGATTTTTATGATGCTTTAATTTCTATAAAGAACAACAGTAAAAGAAGACATCTCTGTTACTGAAAAATATAATTTTGTAATACTTAAATGACAAAATTTTGTTGTAAGATCTATCTACTAGACTAGAGTATGCATATAGATAGATATATCTGCTTTGTAATGGTTTCCCCTGATGACAATATTTGCAGAACACAGTTGATTTCCGCGTTGGAAAAGATAATGTAGCATTTGTTACCAGGCTCTACAGGCACACATACCTCTTTCTTATTGCATTGCCCAAATCTCCAACAAGATCCCTGTGAGGTCCATTATCAACAGAATTCCAATTCCAGGAATATGGGGAGCCCCAATTTGTGAAGCCTTCGTGGTGTTTCGATGTGAGGACCACATATCTGAAAAAAATTCAAAAACAACATTATAAATACGTAAAACACAAACAGGAAGCGTTAGTATCGTAAGTAGCCTACCAACTTTGCTCCTGAAGCTTCGAAGATATCAGCCCACACATCAGGGTCAAAAAACTGCGCGTGGAAATTTGGAGCGAATTCCGTGTAGCTGAATCCAGGGGGGTAGTTTTTAATCATGAACAAGATATATTTAAGATCATGTGCGCCTTTCCAGTTCCACCAGAACCACTCGCTGCCGAACGCGGGCACTGAAAACACCCCCCAATGAACAAAGATCCCGAACTTCACCTCGTCGTACCATTCAGGCAGAGGTCTGGAGTCGAGACTGGCCCAGTCTGGTGTATATCGAGCACCGAACGACGATGAGCAGCATGATAGAAGACAAAGAACCAGCGATATCTGACTCAGAGTCACTTCCATGATTGATCACTTACAGACGCGTGCACTGTGGTCAGTATAGTGAGTGACTAATGCATGAATGATCAGTATACACATTTCCGCATTATAGATTTCTGCCGACTTAACTTACGATTCAGCATAATGCAGACCCAAACAACAAGCTTGTATTTTCTTCCTGGTTAACCATTATGCCATCAAACATGTGACTACAACACATGACTTCCCTTCTAACCACTCGTAACAAAGGATGTGTGGAACCAAATTGTTCGGGAAGGGGAATCGGTCTATTCTGGTGAAAGAAAAAGCTTTCGCTTCCCGTTCGACCTGATCCCCGCCACTCTGTTCCTTTTGTAAAATGGGAAATGCCACTTTTACTATCTTCATTATGAAACAAAATATTGAATTGCTCTTTCAAAGACAAAAAAAAAAAAAAAAAGCATTATGACTTGAACAACTTCTTGATAAGTAGCAAAAGTAATGTTTATAGGCTAGTCTACAAATAATGTAGAACTACACTATAGCCTAAATAAATATAGGCTAACTGTAACCAACTTTTATTTTGCAACCTCAAAAAGTTTAGCTCAGCATAGGTTTTAGGTTCATATTTCACAGACATACTCATAAACAGTTAATTAATTAAACAAATTAATACACAAGACCATTTACGTGGTCCCTAAAAAGTGTACTTTAAAATATACAAATTTATTCAAAAATAATCCATAATAAGCCTCTGCAAATGTATACAAAACCCTAAACATAACACAACTTCCCCAGCTGTCTAATATTTCCAATAAAAAGTAACCTTTTAATTCCAACAAATAATTTCCAAAATAATCTTTCTATTCCACAAATAATATGAAGGAAAAGTGATTAAACTGGTAGTTAGTTACCAGTAAACATTAGGCACACCCTGACGTCTATTACAAAGATTTTTTTTTCACTATAAGTTTATTTTGGCCAAATAATAAAATGACACTAGCATCAGTTGAAATTATGTTTCCATTTTAGCCCTGGGTTCCAAGGTATATAATATGCAATGCTATACGATTGTTAAATTAACAATCTGAAAAAATGACATTTGGTTTTGGTGTGTCATTCAGTTGGTCATTTTTTATTATGCAATCATATCAAATAGTCTATGATAAAATTAAAAAACCTTATTTATACAAAACTTTCTTAAAACAAATGTCATTAAAATCTTTTTTTAAGTCCCCATGAACCGGGAGTTACAAACGACTTTTCTCCAGTGTTGTGACTATTTCCATGTAAAACAAAATATTGATTGGGGAAGGGGAGTTGCCACGCCATCGCGCCATAGCACATGCAGGGCCGCATTAAGAGCTCACTGGGCCCCGGGGCTATGAGTTACTGCAGGCTCCCCCACCACTACAGGCCACCAACTACATGAGCTAAATGTTCTATCATTATACGAGTCATTTTATCCATCTATGATATTACTTCACAGTTAAGTTATATTACTTTTAAAACGATTTTTTTTCATATCAAAATTTAATGGGACTAACATTTCATAATTCTTGTGACCAATTTCAATAATAGTAACTTAAGAAAAGAATCTCAAGCTTACCGATGACAAGAGTCACAAATAACAATAGAACAAAGGCACATAAGAAATCGACCTTGAAAAATTTAAAGCACTGAATAATATTATATTGTATAAAGTAATCAAATATACAAAACATAGTTTTCACTATAAATTCAACATTCATTCTTATTAATTTTACAAAAGTGATTCATTCAAGGGCAGTAAATTTCTTTCTTTCTGATGTTTGATTAACATTATGGACACAAATGGCGACAGCAGCTTTATTAGCAGCTACTGTCACTTCAAGACCTCAGGGTCGGAACTCAAGTGCGCTGTGCAAAACCGCCTCAAGTTCACCATCATTTAAAATAATTTGTATCCAAACCACAATGATTAAAAACGCGTTTAATTTATAAACTTACATCATGATGTCTCAGCAAAATTTACATATTTCTACCGGATATAGGCCTATTATCGCCAGCCCTTTAGGCGAATATAGAGTTTGATCAAACACAAAAAGCAAGATCAAACACCCATCAAGTTAATAATCAAACTTACCGAAAATTTGTGGGGTCGACGATGACGCTGTGTTTTAAAAAATAGTCTAGACTCTAAAATGAAGTGAAGGGTGGAGGCGATTTATTGGTTGATGCGTAGCTATATTCTAATAAGGCGCAGGCACTCCAGGCAGCCATCTATCTATCTATAGGCCTATGTGCAGCAGCAGGTCGATCGTTCACAAGTTAAATATAGAATAAATGTATTATGTTAAATTAAAACGTGACGTTTCATTTCACCATGCCCTGTCCTGGTGCCCACGGGGGTTTGATTGACAGGCGACCTGGCCAATCATAACGCCGAATACGCAATTTTGTCAGACAACAAAGCTGTCAGTAGATTAACGTCGGTGGACTTGAACTTGAAAACGGTATGGTTTAAATTATTTAAATTACAATATTTGAAAGTTGAGACTTTGTTTCATATCAACAGTAAGCTGCTCTGAACTCTCTCTCGTAGTCAATTGTGTAACGTTAGTCTTTGCCCCGCGATGTATTTTTCAGTGCGTGAGTGAGAACATGATGTGCGTGACTCGTGAGAGCCGCCTGGCTTGTCACACAGTAACTAAAAAAGGCGGGTCTTTGCGAACGGTGACTATAATATTAATGATAATGATTCCATGATAATGCATGGAATATTCGGCAAAGCGCTACTAAATAACAGGGCTAATTTGTGGAGGGCGTTGCGTGGTAAGGCTTTGGCAATCAGATGGCTAGTATCTGCTCCACAGCCAATCAAGGGCCCCCTCCTTGTTCGGGCCCCGGGGCTTTAGCCCCGCCTAGCCCTATTGTTAATGCGGCCGTGAGCACATGACAAGAAGAGAAGAACAGTTGTTTCGAGGGGGGAGGGAAGGAGAACGTATTTGATTAAAGATTATAAGGGTACATGATTGTTTTTAAATTAATGAAGTGCACAGATAAATCATTTATAATAAGCACTACAATATTACATATAAAAACACAAATTGTAAAATTTGATTTCATGGCGACTTTAAAAGTTTTAAAGGCTTTAGGTTTAGGCCACCCCGTCCAGCTTGAGTGTCCAGGCTTCAGCGGGTGAGAAAGGCAGATCAGGCAGGAGAATTATCAGTCCTGTTGTTTTCAAAGGAGCCCATTTCAAAGGCTCAGGGTTCCCCAACAAAGTCACCTGAACAGAGTTGCAACAGATAATTCATTAATGTCTTTAAAAAAAAAAACACATTTTATTCCTGAATTCTAACTAATTCATAAATATTTACCACTGTGCTGTCGGAGGTTTTGGGCATAGAAAGCTTAAAGGAGTTTTGCATGGGATTGGAGGTGAAGATCGCATACACAGTGCTGGTGTTTTTTGAAGTATACCTGAAATTGAAGGAAAATAAGAAAAAAACATTAAGTGGGCTAATTAAGGCCAAACTAGCATTCCAGAAAAAGTGCTAGAAGGAAGCAAGACTATCCAGGACTCAAAGAAATCCAGGCTATTAATATAGACCAAGAAGAATTCAAATCCTTTATGACAATAATATGATCAGTTTACTAACATGTCAACATGTGAATAAACATTTGCCCTGAAAATATTTGACATCTAAGCCTTCCCATCTGGAGCGTTGGAATAATAAAAACTGAAGAGCAAGGGGCACACAAAATAAACCCTATGAGCTTAGCTCATAAATATTAATTAAGTGAGAATAAGTACACAGTAGTTCACAGCTGGAGCTTCTGAAAGTTTTTGAGGAATAGAAAGATAAGAGGAAGTTTAAAAACATCAACACACCAGGTAAGAACTGTAGCATTCTCAGCCTGAACTCTCCAAGCTTTAGTTGCATAGATGGCTTCACCGTTGATCTTCAGCCAGGCTCCAATTCCTCTGAGACGCTCCTCAAAGACAGGTGCGATCACGCCGTCTGCTGTGGGTCCCACATTCAACAGGTAATTCCCCCCTAAGGCCACGACGTAGACCAGGTCCTGCGGTCACAACATATGAGAGGTTAAAAAATTACTTGACTCATTAGACACCACATGAACTTTCATACAAGTTTGTGTCCATGTTTCATTCATATACATTAATTACAATGCAGGAATCTAGTAATATCATCTGAGTGAAGCACTTTTGCTCAATAGTAAGTTAACACATCGCACCTTTATGATGGATGGTAGATCCATCAGTTCGGTTAGTTTCATATTTCGGCGATAACCCCATGATATTGTGTCCACTGACTGACATTTCTCCCACTTGTGATTGGGCAGATGTCCAGGAGTGAACTTGTCAGCACAGTTGAAATAACCTCCATGTTTACAGTAACAGCCATTCCCCCATCTGTCATTGGTCACCACCACATCCTGTAAGGAGCGCAATAATGCAGTCATTATGATCAGAATTACAATTTGAGACGGTTCTAAAATAAGAATGACATGAACCGATGATCTCACTTTGACCGGACTGTCGTTGTAGAGCCAGGCGAGGAATTCTGTAGAGTTCCAATAAGTGTCAGGTGCTTCCCAGTCCCCGTCTGACCAAATCAGGTCTGGCTTGTACCTGAGATGTTAATACATCACCAATTAACAGTTTCATAAATGTAAAACCATATACACTATGTAGGCTGTGAAGGTTGATCTTTACACAGACAAATACAACAGAACAATCAAGCTTATGTCATAAACAATTGTTCTTCCTTCTCTAGCCTGTATCATCACATGACTGATGCAAATCTACCTGTTGACCAGTTCGATGAGTTCTGGCATAGCTTTTTTTGCAACATAATCCTGAGTCTTGAAACCAGCTGCCTTGTCACTCAGATAGATGGGATTGAACCATTCATACAGAGAGTTGTAAAGTCCATAATGCAGAGACCTAATAAAAATGGAAAAGTTACTTTATTAAATTAGGTATAGTACACTGGCACAGTTATTGCCAAGGAAAAAATATATAGTTTATTGAAAATGTATGGATAAAATTGAGGGAGGGAATTATATAAGAAAAGATTATCCTGTAGCATTTATTGCAAATTTCTACACAATACGGTACCTCTTTCTTATTGCATTGCCCAAATCTCCAACAAGATCCCTGTGAGGTCCATTATCAACAGAATTCCAGTTCCAGGAATATGGGGAGCCCCAATTTGTGAAGCCTTCGTGGTGTTTCGATGTGAGGATCACATATCTGAGAAAAGTTTAAACAAAAAAATAAATACGTAAAACACAAACAGAAAGCGCTAACGCATATCGTAAGTAGCCTACATACTTTGCTCCTGAAGCTTCGAAAATATCAGCCCACTCATCAGGGTCAAAAAACTGCGCGTGGAAATCAGGAGCGAAGTCCGTGTAGCTGAATCCAGGGGGGTAGTTTTTAATCATGAACTGGACATAATCAGATATGTGTGCGCCTCTCCAGTACCACCAGAACCACTCGCTGCCGAACGCGGGCACTGAAAACACCCCCCAATGAACAAAGATCCCGAACTTCACCTCGTCGTACCATTCAGGCAGAGGTCTGGAGTCCAGACTGGCCCAGTCTGGTGTATATCGAGCACCGAATGATAAAGCGCATGATAGAAGACAAAGAACCAGCGATATCTGACTCAAAGTCACTTGCATGATTGATCACACCTCACAGACGTGAGCGTGAGCGCGTGCACTGAGAGCAGTAACGTTAAAAGTGAATTTCTGCACTAGAGATTTCTGCCGACTTACATATACATAATGCAGCTCAAAAAAACCCGACAAACCACTTTCTATTTCCTGTTTTATCATATGACAATTCACATGAGAAAAACAACCCATGACTTACCTGCAAAACACCGGCAGTTTGGGCACGTGCAAAATACATAGACGCCTCATTGGCCGCTGGATCGTACGTCATCGGCGCCGCCATATTGCTCCTGGCAACTTGCCATAACTCTCATAAGTGGACTGAAGAAAAGATCCCTTACTATTTTACATATTTATGGGGACGGGGAACGCAAATAACAGTTGTTCCGATTCTTATGTTTTTGTATATTTTTGATTCACTAAAATAAACAAGCTAATTAATAAGAGTCATCTGCTCAGGAATCGGACTACACTAGTAAAAAGAAAAGAGTTCCCATCAATACTGATCAATACACTGTAAATGTTTTCTTTTATAAAGAAGATATTTTAATTGCTTTCTCAAAAACAAAATGTAATAAAATAAAAACAAGCATTTTGACTTTCATAACTTCTTGGCAAATAACAAAGGTAATTATCTAATCAAACAAGTGAATTGACAAGACCACTGAAACAGTCCCTGAAAAGGGTTTAAAGCAGATCACTTTAAAGCATAAAAATATTTATTCACACAACTGCCACAAAACATTCGAATCTGTTGTGCCCTCATTGTCATACAGCAAAATATGTTCATAATCCACAATTAGCTACTGTAGATTTGTACTGAACCCAAACATAATGTTTCAAAGCCTTCCCAGCTGTGTAATGTTTCGAATACAAATTAATCTTTTAATTTCACCAAATAATTAACAGTCTTTTCTAATCCACAAAAATATATTAAAGAAAGCGGCTAAACTGGTAGTTTGTTACCAGTAGAATGTTGGTCACACCCTGCCTATTGTATGTACTTCACAAAGTCCACAAAGTTTTTTTGTTTTTTTTTGGTAAACAAGTGCAACTATGGCAATGAACCTCCCATGCCATTCTCCCCAAGCTGCTTTGCAACATTTTGCTTATCATCCTGTCTAGCACTAGCCTCCGCTTCATCCCCATCTACTATAAACATGGGCCAATCAGAGTCTCTAGCGCCCCTCTCCATAGCTTCAGACTGAATGCTGAGGTTCATGGAGGAGGGATCCTCATTAGTTGTAGTAACAAAGGTGCAGCCATCGCAAAGTCCAAAACGCTTCATTCCCTGGGACACAATGCCTGAGAACACTCGACGACAGCCTTTGCAAACAATGGGCCATGTGGAGCGATGCACCTTCAAAACAAAAAATATAGATTTAGATATACTGATATATAAATCGATTTAATTGATTGATTAATTGATAACTGGCTGGAATTTGCCTGTTTTTCAATGTAGTGCATTTGCATTAATGCATATATTTTTTAATATATATATATATTTTTTTTACATTATTAAAATGTATTTTTAATAAATATTTTAAGGAAGAAAATTCCAAGAACATATCTGTACCACTAGTCATCAGCGGTCAACTCATTAACATAGGGAATCTTTCATGCTTTTTAAGCTTTGATTAATTAAATTCTATCGTAATTTTTTAATAACCTATTTATATTTATATAATAATATTTTTTGTATGTATTGTAATATGAATACAAAGATTCTTTTTGTACTTTTTGTATATTCTGTATATTTTCAAAAAGGCCCAGAGTGCCATAGGTCTAAAACTGTAATTCCTGCTAATGTATTATTCTTCGATTAATGTTATGTTTGAGGATATATTTATAGTTATATACATAGTACATCAAACAAGGGCATACATCCAGTACACTCACATGAAGCAATATATACTATAACATCTCGGCTCCGATTGCTTATATTGTCACAGAATATTATTGCACAGTTCTCTATATTCGCATACATGCAGTATACTTACATAAAGCTATTTATACAGTATAGCAAAACTACCTGCTTGTTAATATTGTCACAAAATATAAAGTATATTATCGAACACCTCTATATATGAAGTTGAATAAATAGGTAATTTAAATTTACCTGCATACATACAGTATACCCACATAAAGAGACATGTGCCTAATATAGTACATTTTACATTCTTAATTGTTTATATAAATGCAATATGTAAATTATATTATTGTTATATATCTAATCTGCTAAATGCAACTATAGGCATGAAGATATTTAAAAAAAATATGAACATCATGATTGAAGCTGCTTTGAAAATGTGTATTGTGAAGCTCACAATACAAAATAAAATTAACCTAATTTCTATTAAAAGCATTTTTGAGTGATTCAAAATCACATTCATGTTGAATGCTATTTACTTAATAAAATGTCACCCTGTGATTAATGAATAAATTAATGAGAGTCTGGTAATAAGATTACTGTGTGCATTTAATATTGACACCTGCTTATGTTCTTACTCTGGCCAGTCTTTAGAACAAAATTAAACAGATTTATAGCAACTTTGGTAAATGGGTTAACTTAACTGTGTGAAATACTTTTAAGCAATCTTTGGCAGCTCTATAGCTACACATATTCCTCAGGGCTTATGAAGACTTACAGAAATCGCATGAGTGCGAAGATGTTCTTGTCGTGTGAAGCGTTTGCCGCACACCTCACAAGGATACGGCCTTTCTCCTGTGTGGCAGCGAATGTGCCTTTTCAAAATGCCCTTCTGTTTGGCCGTATATGGGCAGAACGGACATTTGTGTAGTCTCCCTGTGTAAACACACATATAAATTACAACACAAATCAAAAATGATTGTGTTACTGTAGCAATTTTATCCAGCATCCCTCACCTGGATCATCCCCATACCAGTCATTCTGAATCTCCATCCCACATGGGACGGCAGGACCAAGTCCATCATCACCACGGCCGAATCCAACGTACCCCAAACTCTGGGAATAGTGTTCATCCCGGTTAGGGTTCATCCCCCCTCTGTACAGCACATCTGGAAACTGCTTCATAGGACAGTTAGAAAATGATACGGAGGAGTGCTCAGTGCTTGGAGCAGGGCTAGTGTTAACTGTTCTCTCTCCATCTTGATTTGGGCCTTGATAAAGAGTCGTTTCTTTGGATTCCCGTGAAGATTCGCCCTCTTCATCAGGGTCATACTCTATTTTGGGGTGCACCAACCCCAGAAGCAGACCTGGGGTGGATGAGTTGACTAAATCCGGGCCTGGACTGACCTTCAGTGGAGCATTCATGGGATGATGGTTGAGAAATGCTCCTTGAGAGTTTTCGCTTTCTGAGTCTTTACTACTGGTGGCCGCTGGTGCGCAGATAGCAGCCGTTGGGGCATCATCTGGGCTGACGGCTTCGGTGACCTGACAGGTCCTTTGGTCGGCTTCGGAAGTGGAAGCCACAGGGGCACTGGTGGCTGAAACTGGGGTTGCACTATGATCCAAACCCTCCCTGTCCTTGTGTCTCTCCCTCTCTCTGTTACAGATCTCCAGGGATGATTTAATGTAGCCCTTACAAAAGTTCACCACATCGGTCATCTGCAGGTAGCTCGCAGCTGACATTATTTCAATGACATTTTCACTGCGCAGGTCCAGGTGACCCGAATACAAAAAGTCCAGGATGAAGGAGAACGCCTCGGCTGTGACGATGTCCAGAGAGGCCGTGCTGTGTCGCTGGCCATTGTCTTTCAGGTAATGCACCAGCAAAGCCCGAAAATAACCACTGCTGGCGAAGAGAATATTACGATGTGCTTTGAAAACACGTCCCTCTACTATGATGCTGCAGTCACAGAAGAAGTCCCTCTTACGCTGTTCGTTCAGCTCAGTCAAGAGCCTGGACAGATAGGAAGGAACCTCCATATTCACCGTAGGGCAGCCATTCGTTTCTCTGGCAGGGTAGAGGTTAAAAAATAAATCAATTAATCAATGATCATGAGAAAGATATCCTAGTATGAAATAATTGCATATTCTCAAACTCTTATAAGCTTCACAAACAGATAAAATAGGGTGGCGAGACGTCCCCGTTTTTTCTCACACATCTAAACTAGTTGAGTGGAAGTAAACCCTGATATTAATTAAAAAATAAATAATAATAATAATCATTAACTAAAGTCTACTAAAACTTGCAACAATTACATTTGCAAAAAGCACATAATTAGTGCTTGATCCTAAAATATAAAATGATAAGCCCAATTAAAGAACTATTTCTAAAAAGCACAAAACTTAAAATAACATCTGAAAAGGTATATTCAAAGTTAAATTAATACATAATCATATTTATTTTTGTTACGTGTTTAAGTCATTTTCTTAACAATATATGCTTTGTGTGTGTGTGTGTGTATACTGCTTGCTATTTGTAATGGTTAATAATTCTTTATAGTGTGATGTTTGGTAAATTGTACAATCAGTTACGGTCAGTTTGACCTGCAAACATCATAATAATTGTATATGGATTTTTTTCATTATAAAATAATAATTTAAAAAACGGTAATCCCCGTTTTAAATTCATAGATAATTTTAAGTAAGATTTCACTGATATTTTGACCACCGAACTACGAAACCAATCAACTGGAATGAAATGCATACTGACTATCATACCAATATCACACTGTTAAATTAATGCACAGTTCACCATAACATTTAAGGTGGAATATTTAAATAGACAATCGAATCACTGTCACGATATTATCAAAAGTTGACCAAATCGTGCTCGTGCTAAAACATCAGTGGTTATAATTCACGAATAACAAAATGCTATTTTACCATATGTTATGTTTTACAGCAATGGAGTTAAGTATAATAACCGAATTATTGGGAAGCAATCCGTGCGTGCACACGGAACAACAGAGTATGTAAAAACATCTTTGATGCTAAAAACTGAATTTTAAACAACAGTGATTTTTTTAATACTTACATTCAAGTGTATGTTTTGTTTTTGTTCATGATGGTCTTTTAAAAATGTCTCCCAGACGAGCTGCTTCCTGATTTCTACGTTATACTTCCTGTCGCTGCCATAGTAGCGGGCGGAGTGTCCCCGAAATCGCTCCCTATCCCCTATATAGTGCAGTGCACTACTTTGGTTGTCAGCCATTTATGTATACTCTAAAAGCACTCTGATTTAGAACGCAGAACCGAAGAGAGGACTGACTAACTGAAAGAGAGAGAGAGAGTTTGAAGCTCCGTTATGGAGTCATTTATGTCATGCTATGGCTATGCTGATTATAGTATTTTTTTTTTCTTTTTTTTTTCGTCATGACTCATTACTTCATTTAAATATATTGAAATAGAGAGACCGTTAATTTATCATTAATTTAAATTAAATTATATAGATAAATGAAGTGTGGACTTTTTTGGCATTAAGGTTAGCCTACTTTCTACACTAATTCACAGGAAGAATTTATAATTTGGTGGATGAAACATGGATAAAAAATATTCAGTTATCACTTAGCTTAGCTATTATAGCTTATAGGCTATATATTCCTGTCTGTACCGAGTCTCCAATGAGTAAATAAAATACATTTGTAGGTGAACTATCCCTTTAAAAATAAGGTGGCTAGCTAATATGAAAAAAGGGCAATGAGGAAAGTGCATTTACCACTATCACCAGACGAGGGAGCAAAATCCCTGAAACAGTTGGTATTGTCAAGAGATTCAACAAGTGCTAATTTACACCACTGTTACATAGCCGACAGGGTGATGAACAGCACATTCATGAGAAGTAGTTTATTTTTCAGCACAGTGGTCGACCACCATTGTGAGACAAGATGACAACCTCACATGTGCTCTGAAATAGATCCTGCTCTGAGTGAGGACTGATGTCTTCACAATGCCCAAATCCTAACATGCCCATACTGCAGCTCATGTCAGACCATGTGCCTACCCCCATTGTCTGCAATGGAATGTGTGTTTATTTGCTCTCTTTAGCCTGAAAATAGCTGTTTTTTAACATTTGGACCGAGATAAAACAAACATGCAGTTCCTGTAGGCTGCACCGCACCCATGCATCACAATCCACAGCGCTCGAAAGTGATTTTTAACACTGATGGGTCACCGGGTGAGTTATTTGTTTGCAGATTTTTCCCATGGTAAACCCACAGAACACAAAGGCTTCATGGTGGCCCCTCTAAACCGCAGGGTAGGCGAGTGGACATAAGCCGCCATACACCCTCTTTTGAAAATGAAATTTATAGCACCTCATAAAACTCTATTCTTCCTTATAATTCCTATACAAGCTAGAGAGTTGTCCACGAATCCTGTAAACTTGAAACTATACGCCTTAATCAAATGCTGATGCTCCTGCTTCAAAATGGAGTGTTCCCCCCAAAAGAACTAAAAATTTGTGCATTTGATTTGTCTGCTTTTGGATTTTTCATAAATATCGCTGGGGACTTTTGATATATCCTATATCTGAAAATACAAGAAAATATTAAGTTGCATTCTTCATCCTATATCTGAAAATATAAGAAAATATTAAGTTGCATTCTTCATCCTATATCTGAAAATACAAGAAAATATTAAGTTGCATTCTTCAATAATGTAAGAGCACCCTATAGGATATCTGAAAATGGCAAAAACAAAAGTCCCCAGGCAGCCATATTTATTAAAAATACCAACACGTTATATTTTCTTAACCTCATGCAAGGAGACAGATAGTGCAGTGCAATACTGTGTTGTTTCATAAATAAGGCTGCTTAAAAATCTGCTGTGCAATCACAAAAAATTATTACATTTCAAAATATATTAGAATGCCAAACTGTTATTTTAATTTGTATAACATTTTATAATATTGTATAATTATATATATGGAGTATGACATTTCCTGGCCAGTGATTGCGATGAACTACTGTTGTATGACAACAAAAATTCTTAAAATGTATTTTCTTTTGGGGTCTATTAAAAAAACATATATATAGTATATGGGTTTTGAACAATATAATACATATTACTATAAAATATAATAATGCTATTTTATTTTCAGTGTAAACTATTCCATTAGCCATGCCTCAGTACTGTCAATGAAACACATTTATTATATTATGACATGTACAGTATAATCTGTGTCAGCTGTAAAGCTTTAAACTCTATTCATCCTTATAATTCCTAGGAATTACAAACCAGAGTGTTGTCTGAATCCCCTCAAACTTAAAACTCCCCTAAATCAAATGCTGATGCTCCTGCTTCAAGATGGAGCGCTCCCCAAAAGTGCTTTGATTCACCACTTTTGGATGTGTCATAAATATGGTGGACCTTTGTTTTTTTTGCCATTCTCAGATCTCCTAAGGTGCTCCTACACATTAAGATTGAAGAATACAAGTGAAAATGTTCCTGTCATCATATGCGAGGAGACAGACAGGGTGCGATGTGGTGTTTTGGGACTGAGCAGGGCAAAGAGCTGCTTTTTCCCAGGCGTAGATGCACACCACTGGGATATTTAGAGCCACAGAAGAGCACTGATTAAAGAGAGAGACAATGGGGAGAGATTGCCATGACATGATGGCATTTTCCATTCCCGTGCTCTGCCTCTCATGGGCGCAAAAACTGTGGCGTGAAACGTTTGAATTATCGCAGAATGTGAGGAATTTGTTTTGTGGCACCAGCGCAGACCCCTCGCACACTGATCACAAGATCTGACACAGAGCCTTGACTGTCTCTTTTGTGTGCGTGCGTGTTGTGGGCGGGTAGGTGGGTGTGTTTGTTTGAGGTGGAACGGTCATAATACACCACAAAGTGTCTTGAGGATCTAGACATCAGATGGGGGGGGTGTAGTTGGGGGTCTTGGTGATATGATACCAATTTTGGGGGCCTTAATAGGACCGGCGCCCCTCTGCAGTCTGAAGACACCACTCTCCTCTGTGGTCAGAAAGGAAATCTCGTCTCTCTGTAATTACAACTTAATGTCCTTGTGTCATTCAGAGGCGATGTCTCATTGTGCCCTGCGCGTCTTCTTTTTCTCTCCCAGGCCGGCGACTGCCAGAAATAAACATGTCAGCCTTTTTATTATCATTTATTTGAGGCAAAGGAGAGTAATAATTGCTGTCGCTACAACCACATGCTTCCGGCCACAAGCAGAGCTTTTTAGATCTGCAGCACTCATTGCCTTCCTTCTCATTCCTCTGTTTATTTAAGGAATAGTTCACCCAAAAACAAAAACAAATTAAATTATCATTATGTATATTTATTCTATTATTATTGTTTTAAATATTTATTCACAGGAATAAATTAAAATTTAAACAGTTATTTTAAAACTGTATTAATATTCTTGTGTGTGTGTGTGTAGTAACTGACTGTAATCAGATTCCAAAAATGAAGTACTTGTAATTAGAGTATATTATGTTTTAAAATGCTCATAATCAGATTATAGTAACGTTTTCATTTATTACATGATTACATTATTTACATAATGGCAGTAATAATTTATGCATAATTTATTGATTTTCCCCAATTAATCTTTTTCATTCTAAAAAAAGCCTAGGTGTTCGGAAAGTTAAGTACGCATGCTTTTTTTTTGGAAGCACAAACAACTAGTTATAGGTAAAAAGTAATCTAAAAGTAGTCAGATTGTATTACCTAAAATGTGTAATGTAATAGATTCTATAAATAATTACAATTTTCATAATGTAATTTCGAAATCAGTTCTGACTACAATTTCTAAGTAATCTACCATTGCATATATGTGTGTGTGTGTGTGTGTGTGTGTGTGTGTGTGTGTGTGTGCAAAAAATCATCAAAAATTTCTTATTTTGTGTTCCAATAAATAGCATTTAAAAACAAATTGTAATATATAAATATATATAATAACCTGATTTTAATTTCTGGTTCAACTATTCTGTTAATTACACCACAGTTCTGTCAATGCAACACCTTTGATAGAGAATGATTATTTTATGATTTATGAATACATGATAATCTGTGTCTGCTGCAAGGCAAGGATTTAGTTTGTGTTGATGTGGAGTGCGTGACAATGGTCTTCGCTTGCATCTGTGTTTCTGTTTGTGTCTGTGTGGTTTGGATACGTCTGTGTCCATCCCAATGTGTGTTTGCTCTGCCCATGAGAGTGTGTGACTGCACGCTGTTGTTTGGGATTCTGCCGCCACTACCTACGGGCCGGCCGTCGCTCGGCTGCTCTGGGCTGTAATGACAGGGCCGACTGGTTGTAATTAAGTTCAAACATAGCAGCGTGGTGGACAGAGCCGGAGGCCTGCAGCCCTCAATATCATGCAGGCTGACCACAGACTGACAGCTCTCCAACACCCACCAAACACTAAAACTAAGACCAAACTACATGCTGAGCTAATCCTGAACTAAAAGGCAGACTAAAGCCATTTAAATTAAGTTTAAATGTATAGGCTACATCAAAACTCTGATAATAACTGCGCATACATGAACTTTCGAAACTGTCTGTTTTCACAATTGAAATGGTCTGTTTATTCTGACATTAAAGGGGTGGTATAATGCCCCTTTTTACAATATGTAAAATAAGTCTCTGGTGTCCCCAGAGTGTGTATGTGAAGTTTTAGCTCAAAATACCCCACAGATAATTTTTTACAGCATGTTAAAATTGTCCCTTTTTTGAGGGTCGGCAAAAACGCTTGTTTCGTGTGTCCCTTTAAATGCAAATGAGCTGCTGCTCCCGGCACAGAGGGCGGAGCTTCAAGAGCTCGTGTGTGTGTTAGCAGCTCCAATTACCTCACACAGACAGGCACTAACATGTCAGAAACCTTTCTGCATTTTATGTTTAAACTGGAGTCAGACAATGACGGAGAGACTCAAGAAGTGACAACATGTAGAATGCAACAGGACATTTCTGAATGGTTAGTTGATGAATTTATGTTGCTGATGTGGAGTTAACTATATCTTCAATTAGCATATTCTGTCATGATAATCTATAAAAACGCTCGTGCGGAAACTGTTCTAAAATGCCTACAGAGTGAAATGCGATTGCATTTGTGTTATGTACTGTATTGCATGTAAAAAAGACGGATGTGACAGCTTGAGTATGCAGACTCACAAAAGTGCTGTACTAC